GACGTTTCGTGCATCTCTCCATGGTGATAGATATGTTTAAAGTTTGCTAAAAAAAAAAAAAATTCTGGTTTGGTCCATATATATAAACTTACTTTGGTCCTGTTCTAATCTGGGTTTGGTCTAGGTTTAGGTTTAGTTCCAGGTTTAGTATTAGTTTAGTCCCAACTTTGTGCTAGATAAATGACATAAAGGTACACTTTGTAACTTTTCTGGTGAAGATTTACCACTACTCCACAGATTTGACCTGTAATGTCCTAGCTGTGCTTTCTCGTCTCCATGAAAACAGATACTTTTAATGCCATACTGTGGAACATTCAAGAGCAATAACATCTCCATGTAGATGAAGAGGCGGATGACGTTACACAGTGCACTTTTAAATCAATCAACAATGAATTCAAGTCATTTTCGAGACACACATATTACATTTTTGCAGTGCTCACAACACGGGCCAGCCTGAGATGTGTCACATGCCCTCTCTGGTCCTGCGTCACGATTGGTCGGCATAGTGTGGGGGCGGGGCTAATGTCGCAGAATGCTCCGAATGTTCCTCTGAAGTCATCGGTTTGAGTGCGTTGATCTAATCTGTTAGCCATCATGCATCCTGCCCCGCTAATGAAAAGCCAAGGTCCCATCCGTCAGCGCGCCTGTGTAAATGGAGTTTTAACCCCCTCCATTTGGCCCCGACAGTGAGGGGCCGCCAGCGTGAAGGGCCCGATGATGAACGATCATAGCACAGGGGCCCGGAGGAGAGACGAGAGACGCTCTCATGTCAGTCTGCTCGGCAACAGCAGAATCTATACCAGAGCTGTTCCTGTGTCAGTGTGAGTGTTAGGGCTTTTGTGAGGGGAAATCAGGATTGTTGCTAATGATTCTTTTAGTAGTCGACCAGTCAAATGATTATTTGAATGCATCTCACACCAACTAAAGGTTCAAATATGGTGACTGTAGGCTTGTAGTGAGAGATTTCTTTACAAAAAAAAAATCTAAATCAAAAATGGCATCATGGTTCTTTGCTGCAAATATTTTCACTGCTAATTTTACTCTTCAAACGGTTAAATTTGAAGATTTGAAAATATAAGTTCTGAATATTTAAAAGGTGACTTTTTTAAACACATTGAAAATTTTCATCAACTGAAATCAAATCAAACTTTATTTATAGAGCCCTTTACAACACTCAAGGTGACCTAAAGTGCTTTCCAATAAAACTGAAATTCAGAATAAATGCATTTTCAGAATAAAAAAAAAAAAAATGTAAGTGAGAAATTCAACACCATGTAAAATAAAAAAAAATATATATTTTTTTTATTCAATATGAAATTATGAAATTAAATTAAATATGAAATTATCTTCCATTGAAGTGCTTTGGCATTAAACACCCCCTATGGACTGGTGTTGAGCACTTGTGCTATAAACATTTACAATACATCTGGTTTAACCCAATGTAACTGATATATCCACATTAAATAAATAAATAAATAAATAAATAAATAAAAAGAATGAGAATCAGACTTTATTGTCCCAGACGGAATATTGTCCTGGGCTGTATTTTATTCAGAGCCAAATCAAGTGCAGCAGTCCTCTTTGTGACCAAGAAATAAAAGTGACTGTGTGTGTGGAAATATAAAACATGTGTTTATTGTTTGTGTGGCTTTATTTCATGATTGAATTGATTAGCACATGACCTCCATTCAGGCCATGTTGTTGACTTGATTCATAATTTGATTTGGTTGATTCAAATTTCATGATTGGGTCATATTATTATTATCTTTTTTTTTTTTTTTGTATATTAGGGACTATGTAGGTGCACTATGTCATTTTTACATACACCACTGCTCTTTTCTATGAAGATGCTCTTGCTTTGATACTTGTATGTCTTACATTTTTACAGGTGTTTTTTTTTTTGTTTTTTTGCTTAAAATATGTCAATTCTTAGTGTGAGCGTTGTCACCTCCAATCTCACATCTGACCCGTTTTATAACGTAGATGTCTCCTTGGAGATGGATAAATTTATTGCCCCACTGGAACATTCCAAGCAAAGCATCTCCACAGAGAGAAACAGGTGGTGGACCCTTCATTACAAAAATCACATTTGTTACTAGTTTATATACACAAATTACTGTGGTGCTATAAATAGTAATATTTCCAGGCTCAAAATATCGAGCCCAACCACAGCCCAAGTTCACACACGTAGTGTCCAGACTGGCCCTGGATCATTCCCTGCATGCATGGGCACGACTCGACCTGAGCCTGTGAACTCATAGCACCAGAGTTACATTGAGTAACTTGAGCTTTAAGGTTCCATGCAGAGTTTTCGTGCCTGACAGACCTTCATGCAGTCACATAGTGTCCTCCCCCCATATCCATGGTACCAGAAGCACTTGTCCCTGGCTGTTAACTCAAATCTTTCTCCCTCAATCCTTTCACCATCCCAGCCCATGCCTCTCTCTTGTTCTCCTCCCCTCCTCTCATGCTCCTCGATTTCCTCACTCTGTTTATCAGCCACACAATTTTATTCATGCAACTTTCTCTGCTTTTTTGGGACTAGACACGGATGGGGAAGAGGAGGAGATGGAAAGGCTAAGGAGGTTGAGGAGGGTAATGATTCTGCTGTTGTGGTGGAGATTGTTGCACAGATTTCATAGAAGAGACTTTAAAGAGACTTTAAATGTGTGCTTGTGAGATGATTGATTGAAATGCAAAGTGAGCGCACTGTGATTGGCTGACAGTAACAGATGACAGTAGTCTTCTTCTCTTCTATCCATGCTACAGTTTCTGAATTAATGCTAAACTTGGTCATAGAAAGTTTGGTCTTCTACTCTTTCAATGTCACCTTGTTGAGACGTGACAAAACCAAAGTTATTCATAGAGCTGAGTTTAACCCCCCCAAGCTCCTCATGCTCTGTTCCCATAGCAGCTACACTTGTGCTTTGTAATCCTGCATTTGAAGTCATGGACCTCTCAGCGGTCTGTGGCCTTATAATGGGAAATGAGAAGTAGAGTGGTGTTTCAATTTCCTATAAAAATACACTTCTTAAAAAAAATGTGATTGTTGTTTTTAAGGGTGCACTAACTTTTCTGGTAGATGGTTCACTATCTGCTGGTGTGCATGGAGAAAGACTCACTAGTTGCATTTATTCCGTTACAGTTAGGTGTTTTATTGCCATACTGTGGAACATTCTTGATAAAGCAATAACATGCCCATAAAGACAAAAAGGTGGCGTAAACTCCACCAGAAAAGTTACAAAGTGCACCTTAATTAGATTTTGAACCATGACTGAGGAACATGGTGTTGCACCATAACAAAGAAACAACTGCCTTAGTGGATTTCATAAGGTTTTCATCCTGCATGTGCTTACATTGACCAAATTGGGGTGTTGCGTCAAGTTTTTACTTTATGGTTCAAGTTTTCATCCAGTAAAATGCTTTTTAAAGGTGCATCTTCTCCATAAAGATGTAATTTCTTTGGCTGTAAAAATCTACAGTATGGCATAAAATATCTATCTCCATGGAGACAAGCAGGTGACACCAACAGGTTGAAGCTGGTAATAAACTCACAGTTACACAGATGTTTGTAAAATATGTAGGAAAGCTCAAGGTTTTGGAGAAAATTGTATTTTTACAGCATAATGAGACTGAGATAAGGTTACACACTGCAAAAAAGAATATCTGTGAAAAGAAATATTTTTGTGACTACTTTTTTTATAGTTTAGTCTTTTTGAATGTATTTTTCGATATTCCAGAAATTTTGTATATATCAGCAGGAAAAGTAAATATGCAAAAATATCCAAGAATGAAAAAAAGCAAAAAAGACATTTACTCAATTTAGTATGATTACACTGTAGAATGTACCATGATCACAAAAACTATAACTAACTAGATCTAAATCTAAATAGAGAATTGCAACTTTAAAAAAAAAATAACACATTGTTTTTTTCATAGTGTCAGCCAAATAAAAACAATGAGGTGTAGCATTATAGCACACAAATACATTATACAGAGTAAAAGGTGCTGTACTTTATTTGGACTATGAGTGAGGGACAGGGTTTGGGTTGAATGTTGCACCAATGAAAAAACAAGGAACCTAAGGGGAAGTACTGACACCCACCCGAACAAACAGCACTCATGTTTAGCATAGTAACTATATAACTTTGTTAATAATATACAAGGCTAGACACAACAAACTTCCCAGAAACACCCAAACATGTTTTGGAAAAGAGAGGGGAGACATAACCTTAGGGGAAAGTTTAATTTGAAAGTATAATGTGTTCGTACTACCCTCAAAAGTCAATGTGTTACTAGAACAGGTGTGATTTTATGGGATGAGCTAGAAGACAATATGAAAAAAGTTTACTGCAATTTAAAACTATATTAAATAAGTATCCTTAAGAATTATGCTTCTGAAACATGAGTTTATGCACGTTCTAAAAGATGATTAAGAGTAGTCCATAGACAGATATCTGCAGACTGTATGTGGCTGGGATCGATTCTACTCAATATCATACATCTATAAACAGGCACATGCACACGGTTATGTGTCTGTACTGGTGGATAATATACACAATTATATACAGTGAAAGAGTCTTCTGTTGTAAACCAGAAATTGTATGGGAGTAAATACTAATAAGCAGTTGCTTCAGCCTACTCCTTTTGGGCTAAGTCTGCTTCTATGTACACCTGTAATGTAAACTACATGTAAAGAAAGCCCAAATAAACTAAACTAAAAACAAAAAACAAAACTGTGTCCAAACAAAGCGCAGTGTGTCATTTTACCAGTAAAACTTGTATTCACTCGAAAATATCAAGTCTTGAGTGCAGGTCGGTCTAACCCACACTTCAAACTCCACTCCTGCAGCCAGGTGTTTGTTATCAGTTGTATGTCACTTAGTACTTGTAATGTCACATAGTACTTAAAACTTCATTGTTACCTGAAGTATTGCTACTCATTTTTGGTTATTTTTCGGGATGTCTAACCTGTGGTCATGGTGTGTGTGCTCCTCCAGGGCTTCTTCAGGCGCAGTATCCAGAAGAACATGGTGTACACGTGTCACCGCGATAAGAACTGCATCATCAACAAAGTGACCAGGAACCGCTGCCAGTACTGCCGCCTACAGAAATGCTTTGGCGTGGGCATGTCCAAAGAGTGTGAGTACCAAAAACACCATGTACAACCTTTGAAACTTTGTGTACGGTCAGACAGAAATGAGTTGTTATTAAATTAGTTAGTCAAGAATTTGTGATTAAAATTATTATCCATGGTTGCCTCTATAATAGCATTACATTTTCTAAATAGTCAAAAATAATTATGTTGTCTTGTAGTAACAATAACCGAAATATCATGATATTGTATCGTTAGAGTTCTCACAATAATATCGTGGGCCATCACAATATATCGAATTACAAGTCTCTTTGCTTAAATTAAGAGTTATGGTGCAGCAATAGCTAAAAAAATGACGGAGGGAACTACATAGACCATGATCCTTTGCTCCATTTCAGTGTAGGCTACAAGAAGAAATAACAGTTCTAAGCACTTTTAAGTCTTAGTTCTTTGGATTCTTTGGTCAAGGCATTTTAAGAGGAAAACGTAACATATTAGTCTCCACAGAATATCGCAATAAATATCGTACTGTGAGGTTCATACCATGACGATATCGTATTGTGAGACTTGGATATCGTTACACCTCTATTGTGTTGTGATTTATGAATAGAAATCAAGTATTAGTATTTGAAGGTCCTATATTATACAAGATTGACTCTTACAAGATTTAAGCCATGTTATAATGTACGTGAAGTTGTGTTTTTTTTCATTTACACATTTGAGTAATCATTTATTATTAGTCTGTCACATCTCCAAAGCTCAAACTGCTCTGTTCCCATTTGCGATGTCATGAAGTAGTAGTTTTTATAACAGCTACCTTTTACTTTTTGTTTAGTAGAGATTGGAAATTACAGGGCTGACATTATCCAAATGATTCTAGTAATGGTGTATGGAGCTTAAAAACACAATGGAGCATTTCCTGTATTACCACATGACATCACAACGTGGAACAGAGTGTTTTCTGTTTGGGCAGGGTTTGTGTGTTAAACATGTGTGAATGAAATGAAACACAACTCCAGGTATGTTTCTGATGTGGAACAACATTCTAACATACATCCGAAAACAGCGTAATATGGGCGCTTTAAATTAAAATAGTACTTGCAGTGGTAAAGGGGCACTACCTACTTTTTTCATGTAAAGTGAAATTTGTCTTAGTACAGGTATATGGTAAAAAGGTCAAAATATAAAGCATTTTTATTCTCCTTGAACCAGGAAGTGAGGCTGGTTTGCTGTTGGCATGCTATTTGTTTTTAACAGCTGAGTGATAGCAAGACTCGACCTTGGTAATAAGCAAAAAATCGCACAGTTGGAAAAAGCTGTTTGTTTTGCTCGCTTGTGTGTTTCTTCTATTTATAGGTTAGTTACTTCTCTGCTGGTACATTGCTTACAGTGCACACAATGACCTGTTTCCAATAATAGAGAAGTGAGATTAATGTAAATGAGCTCTAGTGAGGGAACCAAATATAGACAGACCCATGACTACAATGTAAAACACTTGTATACATTGCTAACTATAGGCATTGCTCTGTCTGAAGTTCTGTTACCCAAATTAGACATTTGTTTTAAAACAGTCTGACTATATACAACACCTAAATAGGACCATGAGCTCTTATATCAATCTCAGGCTCCTAAAAATGTGTTATTTAAATCCATTTAGTATTTTTTGGAATGTGTTTGGTAGGGATGTGTGAAATATCAATATATCGTATCATTTAATGTAATGACACAGTATCAATATCGTGGGCTGCTGTAACGATATATCGCCAAGAGTATTTTTACACATTTGATTTTCACTTTTTTGAGGTTTAAAATTGCCGTGTTTCATATGAACTTAATATTACAGCCATGATTTTACTATTATTTTTTATTGGACTACATCGAATTGATTTGAAATATATTGTGTCAAATTGAAAGTGCACTGTATTGAGATATGTATCGCAATTGTAGCCTACATATCGCATCTACAACTTCTTAATGATACCCAGCCCTAGTATTTGCTAATATGTGCATTGTGTCACCATGGAAACTTTTGAACATTCGACCAGAGTGATACATGTAGAACACCCCCAGCATGATGTCACTGTCTCAATAGCAATTATCTTAGGTTTCATACATCTCCGATAGTCAGTAGTGGCTGTATTTGAATTATAAGTGTTGTAGTCATAATAGAAACTTTTACTTAAGGTGTTTTTATTGTACATGGACCAGGAAGTAAGGTTGGGACACAGTTACCATGGTAATTGTTATGAGCAGTACTGTAACAGAAGTTCCCCAAAGCTCTGAATAATTAGGATTGTTGAAATGTGTTAGGAAAATTAGTCCTAAAATGTACAGGTCCTACCTTAGGGTATAGTGGTTTAATAGCTCCAGCATTGTACGTTTCAGGTGGACATTTTTCAATTTTTCTATTAACAGTTACATTTCACAGGTTATTGGCATTTCCTGATTGAGTCTCCTTTTATGGCACAGGTCCAGTATTCACACTATTAGCCTGTGCTGTGTGCCGGTGTGTGTTTTGGATGTAGTTTTCACATGAACAACAGTGGTGCGAGTACAGTCCCCTGTGGTGAGCTGATGACAAGGAGAGACCCTCCACTTGGTTCATAGCACGCTGACTGCTGCCCTGAAACAGTCTAGTAAACACATTCTATAGCAGTGTCTCAGTCAGTAGAGATACTTAAACTAAGCTGAAGGTTAGTGGTTCAATTCCTGGTACTGCATATTGTTGCGTCTTTGAGCAAAACTCTTCAGTCATCTTGTGTGAATCTATGGGTGACTGAGTGATGGGTAGTAGCCTATTTGTTGAGGTCACTGGTGCAAAACGGCAGCTATATATTTGTCACCTTGCTCTTGCAGTCAACATTAATTTTCTTTTGAGTGTTAAAGAGTTGAGATGTATTTAGGATAGATTATTTAACCTGTAAAAAGAAGAAATTAGGACAAAATCCCCATTGCCAAAAAGCAAGCCTGTTATACCATGATCCAAGTGAAATTGTTAAGATGTTCAATAAGTAAAGCTGCACTATGCAACTTTTTCTAGTGGAAGATTCATCCCCTGTTGCCATGTTTTTGCTTCGCCTGGAATGATTCCACATTTAACTTATTTATCTCCATGGAGACTAGCAGAAGGTGCCATCAGGAAATGACTCTCACAATAAGAATGTCGTTTTTTTTCTACCTTTGCAATGAAAACACATCACTGAAACTGCAAGATTTATGGTTTAAGCCGTTCTGGGAAATTTCACTTAAAACAACAACATCTCCATGAGACAAGCTGGTGGCCAGAGGAGGAGCAAAGGAGAACATCTGCCTGCCTGTCCTCCTCACTCGTGGTGTCATGTGCTCCACTCATAATCAGTACTACAACAACACAAGGGTCTTTGTTCAGACCAAGTCACTGCATAATATAATCAGCAGCATTACACAATATTTGTACTATTTACGGATTTCAGAGCCAATGAGTTCTTTATGTCAAAAAACCTGCAAGAGTGGGAACAATTTAAAGCTTTTCCAGAGTTTGGTACAGCTTTAGAATCACTTCATGTCATGTTTTACTTCTAACTGCTAGCACATATTTAGATTGCTATTTTACCTTTTATCGTTTTGAAAATGCTATATTCACCAAAAACAACGTAGGAACATGTTTTATAAATTTCACTTGTTTTTAAAAGTCTGAGTCCCTATGCTATCCACATTAAGTCACTCCCCCTTCAGAGCACTAGCACAACACAACCAAACATCCTGCTTATAAAACTACTGCGCATCACATCAAGATTGTCAAGTTGTGTACAATTTTGTATTTTGTTTTTGTTCAACTAAGGTAAAGAGAGAGATCGCTAAATTTCTCAAACATGCATGGATGCATCTAAAAGTCAAACATGTTTTTGATGACGGAACAATGATATGACCTAGTAGAAGCTAAAAAAACAAAACAAAAAAACCCTCTATACTAAAGCATGAACCTTAATTGATAATTTACTTTATTGTGTTTCTATAATTATATGGGAAGTGTTTCCAAGTGTTCCAACCCACTTTTTATATTATATTATTTTATCTATATAGAAGATTTAATTGTAAGTTTTACCTCAATGTTTTTCTGTTTAATATGGAAACCGCCACTGCAGAATAGGGTCATTGCTTTGTAGTAAATCAGATATTCAAAGAAAAAACAATCCAGCATGATTTTTTTTTATTATCATTATTATTATTCAAACTGACATGACAAGGTGAAACATCTCCAGTCTTTACAACCAGATGCTACTTCTAATTTTATTCATATGATCCGGTAAATACCCGCACAAATTATCATAAATCCACATTACAAGGTCATTTTAGCATCTGACATTTGTGCTCCATGAGGCCCCTTCACTCCTCCTGCCGACAATGGAGAAAGATCATTGTTGATTACACACCCACCTGCACTGGGCTATAGGAGCTGCCATGTTGAGGGCCTCAGAATTGGCAGATTTCCCACAATGCACCACGTGTCGAGTAGATAAATGGTGTTTATTTAGCCCCGCATCTGTTTGCTCAAAGGCACGCAGGAAAAGGCCCGGCAGATGGATCTAAGGGAGGAACAGAAGGTTGAGAGAGGAAATTAGCGAGGAAAATGGAGGGGCAAGAGGAAAGCATTGATATGTTCGTGTCAGTGCAGTTTGGAAGAAGTTGTCTGTGTCGAGTAATGGGGGGCCCTGTCAGCCACTAGGGGGGGCACTGAAAGTTCAGAGTGTTCAGTATGCAGGAGAGTATAAAATGTCTTCTCACTTCTATATTAAAGCTGCACTGTGTAACTTTTCTGGTTCGTCATGGAGATGTTATTGATTTATCTTGAATGTTCTACATGGCGTTAAAGTATCCATCTTGCATTTGCTCACTTCTTTGTGTTTTATTGACTTAAAAACATACATTCTTACTGTGAGTGGGCTTGCCTTTCCACAGATCTGACCTGGTAACGTGGCCCTGTGGAGTCACTTGCTTGTGCTTAGTTGAAATTAATAAGTGCAATGCCATTCTGTGGAACACTCCAAGCAATGCAGTAACATCTTAA